TTGTTTTATCAGCATGATATTATATCATATTTTTATAAATTGACATGACATTGATATGTCAGAGATTAAAATTATAATGCTTTGAGTTTGGAAAATGTGATATTTTACCATGAATGTTATTTCGGGTATGAACTGCCCAATGTTAAATATTGATAATATACTGTGCCATGGATGGATCAAATAAAATAGACTGTATGCCCAAGTAAGTCATTCAGGGACAGGGTATAGTTAGCATGCCATAGAGTATAGCAGCTGCAAAATTATATTAGCACTATAGTGTGTAAGGACACTAAGTGCATGTTTATGTCGGATTAGTACTATAGCGTAAGCTTAGTGTAGGTGGTGGGCACGACCTTATGTGTATTATCCGGATTAGCACTAGGGCGTAAGCTTAGTGCAGATTTAGCACTACGATGCAGGTATTTTACTCGAATACCCAGGGTCCTCAGGGTTTTAAAATGGGCTATTGTCTATGGTTTTATAGATTATTGGTTACTAAATGGTAAGCATTAAATTAAGCTTACGAGCTTAATGAATTAATGGAAAGTATATTGGTAAGAAATTTTATACTCAGTTATATTATTTTGATCATGGTAAAATATTGGATATACTAATAATATGATTTCAAGGTATTTGGTTTTTATAATGAAATTATGCATGAATAGTGTTGCATTGTTTATTGTTTTAATTGCCTCACTAAGTATATACTTAGCGTGTGATGATTTTCACGCGTAGGTAAAAAGTCGTAGAGGAATAGAGAGTTCAAGGCAACATAAAGCATCAAGAAGTATATTTCTTTATCAGTAAGACATCCTAAGATGTAATGTAGACTTAATTAGTGGCATGTAATTATTATGTTTTAATTGCTTTGTTGAACAAATTTAGAGACAAAATGGTAATTTTATGGATTTTGTATAATGCTGAAATTACTGTAGCAGTTATTGTAGCGTATCGATGCATAATATTAATTCGATGTTTTGATGCATCGATGTATTGTTCACGTTACTGTAGCGCATTGATGCACTGTTCATTGGTACTGTTCATCACTGTTCACGGTATTGTTCATCATTATTCATAAAAAAATCTTTTGAATTAAATTTGCTATAATAAAATATAAATTATATGATATGATATTTTTATAATATCAATTACTATTTTAAGAAAGTAAATTTTTAATCGTTTTAGAAAAGAAAATGGTTTTAAAATTCGGGTGACATCTATAATCTGTATAGGTATAATTATACGGGTTATGGGTGTTACATTTATTGGCATCAGAGCTACAGGTTTAGCTGATTCTAGGACTAAACCGAGTTTATTTTAAATTAAAAAGTGTATACATGTCACTAGGATGTCAAAAGTTATTGATAGTTGTATATATATTGTGATGATGCTTATTAGGAGTAAAGTTACTCTTTACTAAAGTACTATGATTTTGTTGTATTCAGATGTCAGATCATCAAGAATCGAGTAGGGCAGCCGAGCATGTTACTCCTGTACAGAGTGGGAGTAATGAGGTGAATCAGAATCCACCCAATGCTCAGCCGAATGTAGAGCCGTCTAATCTGAATCAACAGGATATGCATGTTCAAGATCGGGGATTGTTCTTACAAGCACTAGACACCATTATTAACCGTCGAACCCCAGTGTCAGTTCCGAAAGAACTAAGGAAGATGAGAGCACCTGAATTTCGAGGTGATTCGGATGCTGATCCGATGGCTGCTGATTTTTGGTTGAATGATGTCAAAAATATGCTAAACAGGATTCCTTGTGATGATCAAGGAAAATTGGAAGGGGTTGTGTCTCTACTGATGGAGCAAGCCAGTGTGTGGTGGAATACAGTCGTCGCACGAGTTTCCACTGAGCAGATTACATGGGAATTCTTTCTGAATGAATTTAAGGAAAAATATATTATGGACGTGTTTGTCAATGAGATGATGCAACAATTCCTAAATTTAAAGCAATTCGGCAAGACAATTTATGAGTACGAATGTGAATTTCACAAGCTGAGTCGATTTGCTTCGGAGTTTATTCCGACTGAGAAATCTAGAATTGATAGATTTATTTCTGGATTGGATTCTCAATATAAGAGAATTTTGGTTTCTCATCATTTTACTGCGTTTCAAGAAGCGGTAAACAAGGTTAAAGCTATGGAAAAAGTTGATCTTGAAGATATAGAGGCTAAGAAGGCTCAGACAAACAAAAAGTTTGGAAGCTCATACTCTGCAACTGTTCACGGGTACTGTTCATCACTGTTCACGGTATTGTTCATCACTATTCATAAAAAAATCTTTTGAATTAAATTTGCTATAATAAAATATAAATTATATGATATGATATTTTTATAATATCAATTACTATTTTAAGAAAGTAAATTTTTAATCGTTTTAGAAAAGAAAATGGTTTTAAAATTCGGGTGACATCTATAATATGTATATGTATAATTATACGGGTTATGGTGTTACATGCATAGCATGAATATAGTATTATATTCAGTTCTAGATTTGTAATAAGTCTAGATTCAATATTTTGATACATGATCACATTCTATATTATGATACATGACATGAATTCATATTATATGCATTATGTGACATGAATATGCAGGAAAAGTTATATGAGCTATGTGATAAAGGTATGGAAAATGATATGTCTATGTGAAAAGGTATGGAAATGATAAGTCTACGTGATATAAACTATGTGAATTGTGAAAGCCCATGTTATGTAGATGAGAACTATAGGTATAGTTGGCATGCCAAGAGTAGAGGGTCTACGCGGTCCTTCGGGATAAAATTCTACGTGGTCTTTCGGGACATATATGTATTCTTTGGAACATGTATGAGGTCTTTTAAGACACGTACTTGATCTTTGGTATATGTATATGATTCTTAAGGAATTTCTATGTGGTCCTTAGGGACATATTATATGGCACTACGGTGCAATTCTACGCGGCACTTCGGTGCAAATTTCTACGCGATCCTTCGGGACAAATTCTAAGTGGCACTTCGATGAAAATTTATACGAGTTGTGGTGACAACATTTGTGCACAACCTCACAGTACTCTTATACCTCGGGTTCTCAGTATTGTATCATGGGCTATTGAACCTATTGAACTTATTGATATGAATTCATGATGGATAATTTAATAAGATCATGGGTAAGATGCATGGTTATATGACTAACATGGTTTAAATATATGATTTCATGAAATTGCATTTCATTATGACATTTTCATTATATTTTATTGTCATTATTATTATGCCTCACTAAGTCTATGACTTAGTGTGCAAGTGTTTTACACGTAGGTGCCGAAAAGCAAAGAGATCCATAATAAGCTCAGCAAAACAACATAACTCCACTTGAAGGTCTGATCAGAAGTAAATTAAAGAGTATGTATTATTATGGGTTAAATAGGTTCGCATGTAAACATAATTGGTAAATTAAGTATTTATGCTCTGATCGAGTTTTGTAATGTTTTAAACATATTTATGTAAATGTAAATGCATAGTAATGAACGATTAATTTTTTATGAGTTTTATGTACATTTTACGAAATTCACTATAGCAATGTATCGGTACACTATAGCACTATTCATGACACTGTTCATTACTGTTAATGGTATTGTTCATACCGTATAGCACTGTTCATAAATACATTTTTTACTTAAATTTTTATAATGAAGCATAATTTAATGGTATATTATTGTATTTTCTTAATATGAGTTCAAATGTTTATTATTTTGTAAGAATATTGTTTCAAAAAGTCAATGTGACATCTCAGACTCGTATCCGGGTCGGGTACGGGTTGGGGTGTTACATATGTGTCAAAATTTAAGAAATTAAGATTTTAGAATGTTAGACTGAAATAATTTGAGGATTATGAATAAAAATTTAATATAAATAAAAAAATATATATATAATAAATCGAGTATCGGTCAGAGGATACCCGATTAACCAACATTTTATGACCCATGCTTGACCCATAAACCCGATAAGGTACTCGACCTGAAAAATCAGGTATTTTATTATAAATACCTGATATTTTTTAACTGGGTCAGCGGGTCGACGGGTCTTTATTTTTAACAACCTTTCTGGCATGACATGTGACATCGTTCGATTAGAGGATTAAATTTATTTTAATTTATTAAAAATATGACTAAATTGAGAGAATATGTAATAACATGGATCAAATGTATGATTAAAAATAATTAACTGCTGTTAACGACAGTTAACTCGGGGTGACCACATCTTAATTAAATAAAAACAAAAGTGATCATATCTTAATTAAATAAAAACAAAATTCATCATATCTTATGTTTTTTGAAATTAGTGACCAAAAGTGGACAAAACAAAGATAAGTTATGGTCCATGTAATTAACCCTAAATTAAATTATTAATCATTGTATAATGCATACATACTATACGAATTTATTCTTTATACTTTATTTTTTTTCATCATATATTTTTAAAATTTTAATATAACCAAAATAATAATTATTAAATCTGTTAAGTTAAATTTTATTTTTAATTTGTATAATATACATAAGTTGTACATTTAATTTATATTTTTCAATTCAATCATTTTTAATTTTTACAATTTAATTTTAATGTTCTTGTACCATTTGTTTTCTAGACAAAAAAAATTAAAATAGAAAAAAAGGTATAAGGACTAAAGTAACTAAATTATAATATAAAGAGTAAACCTGCAACTTGCACATAATATAGTACCTGATTATAGGTTTTGACCCAGATATTTGTGTGCTGTAGTTGGGGACGATAAAGATAAGAGGAACGGAAAAATAAAGCGCTGGTTGTGAGTCAAAGTGGAGTGAGTCAGATGAAGACAAACACGGTGGTGTGGTGTGGTGGGGCCGGGGTCCCCAATATCCAATTCCCAGTGCCCTATAAGCTATCAAAATCTTATCTTTTCCCTTCCGACAACCGCATTATGACCACCAAACCGCGGCGATCCATCGCATAAAAAACCCAGTTAAAGAAACAAAACGCATTTCCACTCTCATGGCTTCCTTTACTCATCGCTTTCTTCTCTTCTTCTCTTGCCTTGTTTGCTTCACAAACTCATTCCCCGTTCTGGGTTCTCGATCGAGTTTCGCTTTGTTTCCCGTCGCTAAAGATGCGGCCACTCTTCAGTACGTCGCCAGGATTTCTCATGGCACTCCATTGCGATCCTCCGACCTCGTGGTTGATCTCGGCGGTTCGTTTCTTTGGGTGGATTGTGATTCAGGACACGTGTCTTCGTCAAGGAGGTTGATCTCGAGCTGCTCCGTCAACTGCTCCAGAGCCAAGTCTCATGATCTGGGAAAAAAGACATGTCTTCTAAACACCAACTGTTATGTGTTCCCCGACAATGGCGTGACGGGATTGGCTTCAACAGGGGAACTGGTGGAGGATGCAATAGCCGTTGATACTGTTGACTTTGTAAAGGTAGGAAAAACGACAACCGTCGATCATTTTTTCTTTTCTTGTGCTCCGGCCTTTCACTTGCAAGGCTTGGCCAGTGCCGCTAACGGGATGGTGGGGTTAGGGAAAGCTTCCGTTTCTCTTCCCTCACAGCTGAGTTCCTCGATCGGACACCCACAAAGGTTCAGTCTTTGCTTATCGCCTTTAAACGGCGTCGTGTTAACCGGCAACGGAGACGCCGTTTTCGGGACCAAAACAGCAAGGTCGCTCGTTTACACACCCCTAACCATCAAGCAGAACGACTACTTCATCCATGTTAAATCCATCAAGATCGGAGGAAGGAGGTTGAGTTTCCATGGAGAAGGGAAATATTTAGAGGCAAAACTAAGCACAACCGTGGCTTATACCAAGATGGAAAGCCCATTCTTTGCGACGTTTTCCAAAGCTTATGCGGAAGCAGCCGCAAGGATGAACATGACCAGGGTGGCAGCCGTGGATCCGTTCGGACTCTGCTTCAGTTCGAAAGGGGCTGTCGGGAACAAGATGCCAGAGATCGAACTGGTTTTGCAGAGTGAGATGGTGAAGTGGAGAATTGAAGGGGAGAATTTGATGGTGAAAGTAAACAAAGAAAGAATTTGTGTCGGGGTTTTGGATGGAGGATATGAACAGAGTAGCCCTATTCTAATAGGAGGGCTTCAAATGGAAGACAACCTTTTGGAGTTTGATATTGGGAGTTCCATGTTGGGTTTTAGTTCTTCTTTGTTGTTCAAGGGAACACCCTGTTCGTCATTCTTACAAGATTCCAAGCTCAAGCAGTTTATCTAATTTGTCTGTCTTTTAGGGGTTTTTTTAGTTTTTTTTTTGTGAGGGCAATCGTGATGGGATCGATGGAGAAGAACACGAAGAGAGAACTATATTGTATTATATATGTACTAAATGATTTTTTTTCTGTTTATTACCATATCATTGTGTATTGATCATAAATTTTACTTCGGAAGCATGAAAATTGAAAATAGCAAAATTATACATCAACATTGACATTGATCTTTTAATATTTGGAAACTAGAATAAGAAGAAGAAAAAATGATGCTAGTGACGATTTTATAAAAAAACAGCGACTAAAGTAAGAAAAATGGTAATTATTTGATGAGTGATATTGTAGCTTATTATTCAATTTTTGATATGAACATTTACTCTTTAGTGAAAGCATAAAAAAAGAGTTTATGTGACGCCTTATACCCTGTGACCCGATCTGAGGTGTCATATTAAGGTCATTGAAGTGACCCACAGTAAAAATTCAAGAAAAAATTTTTTTTGTTAAAACGTGTAAAATCATAAAACAATTTATAAACTGTTGGGATTTTCGAAGCTCAATTTGATCAATCGAAAATTTGTACCAGGGGGTGAAAAGATAAAAATTGTTTAGGGAGTAAGGAGAAAGAAAAGATAGATAATAGGCACAACGATTTATAGTGGTTCGACTTCTCAACTAAGTCTACTCTACTAGCTTAGCTCATCACTAAGGATTTTTTAACAAATTCACTAATTTGATCATTCTTTTTCAAAGAAAAATAGATAACATTTACAAGACTTCCTAGTTTTTCAAGGGCTCAGCTAGAACCAAAACCCTTTTACAAGGAAAAGAAATATAAACAAAGAAAACCTCTAAAAGGTAGGGTGTTTATAAGAATTTAACTAACAAGAACAAAATATTTACAAGAGAAAGTAAAATAGAAATGAAAAACTCTTCTCTTGTGTCTGATTGCTTGGATAGTTGTTTTAACCCTTCTTCAAGTGTCTTGAACTTGTATTTATATGTTGGAATGAAGTTGTGGCCGTTTCTAGCCGTTGAGAGTGATTTAGAGCCGTTGAGAGTGTTTTTCTCTGCAAAATAAAACTGCTCAGTACAGAGGGTATCAGTACTCCTATAGGAGTATAAGTACTACCTTTATTATTTTTAAATAAAACTAGTCGTTATTAGCCGTTGGGCCTGACAGTATCGATACTAAGCCTATGATATCGATACTACTATATAAAGTAGTATCGGTACCCCTTTGGGTATCGATACCATTTTTGCATTTTGGAATTTGAGCAATGCTGCTAGTATCGATACTACCTAGTGAGTATCGATACTTCCCTTACCTTTGGCATCAGTACCATATGAACAATATCGATATTGTTCATAAGGTATCGGTACTATAAGAACAATATTGATAATTCTTGTCCAGAAAAATATTTTATGCTCAATTCCAAGTTAAATGGACTTTGAATTATTTTTGAAAAATGTTGAAAACTTTGAATAAATTCAAATCGAGTCCAAAAACATTTTGCCATAAATTGTTATATTAAAACATAGTTCAACAATCTCCCCTTTTTGATATAACAAAACATTTGAAAATTATTTTTGGCAAAACTCCCTTTAATAAAATATTTAATGAAAAATGATACGAATTGTTGAAAAAAATACTAAAATGTTCAGCTCCCATTTTTCATTAAGAAAATGAATTTTTTAAACCACACTTCTCCCCCTTTTTGTTATATAAAAAATATTTTACCTTTAAAGTTCTAAAATAACATTGGAGAGTAAGTGATAAACTTGACATTTAAAAACATTTGAAAAATCAAATCTATCCCTTAAAAAATGCATTTCAAACAAAAATTTGACTTTAAAAGCTTGACACTTAAACAAAATTGAATTTCAATAAAGAATAACAAACATGTTAGTAGCACATGAAATTCAATATATCCAAGTCTAAAATAATTTATGCAATACCAATTGTTGAAATTAAGTGCATATGCATAAAATCTTCAAAAAATGTTATGCATTTAAAATTTTTAATATCAATTGTTAGAGAGATATCATTTGTATTTTTAAATTACATGTATAAACATTTTAATTTAGGTCAAAAACTTAAATTTTTTAAAAATAAAAACATTTGGAAAATTGATATCAATTGTTAGAGATATATCATTTGCATTTAAAACCAATTTTAACCAAAATTCATTATGATGAACAAAAATTATGACAAATCATTAAATCATGAAGTGTTCATCATAACACCTTTTTAACATACATGAGATAGAAAATTAACACAAAATCATTTAAGTTCAAAACTCATGCATGCATAAACTAAATGAGCAACCAAATAATCAAAATAAAAAATATTAAGCTTACAGGTTACCCATTCATTTTCAAGTGTGGCTAGAGCATTTGAGTATTTTCATTTTCATCACCATTGCTCCCACAGACCTACAAGAGACATTTAAGTAGATTTTGGTATCCAAATTTCTTTGGATCCTTGGACGTTAGTTTCAATGCCCCTTGTTCCCTCAGAACCCATATTTGTCTAATTTTAAAACATTTTCCTTTCTTTAAAGGACAAGTATTTTCAAACGACCATGAAAATGACAATGTGAGCATTTTGCCATTTTTAAACATAATGAGTTGTTTTTAGAAATTAATTCTTTTTCTTTTGTTAAGCTCTCAAGCTTAATTTCAAATCAAAATTTTCTTTTTCTAAATCATTTATTTTGACTTTTGAAAGCTCTAAATTATTTTTCAAAATTTCATTTTGAGTTTCAAAACCAACTTTTGCTTTCAAAACCAAATCATTTTCAACTTTAAGTTTTGAAATTAATTTCTTATATTTGAAATTTATGGTCTCAAATTCCAAATACAACTCATTATAAGCATCTTTTAACTCATCAAAAGAATGTGAATTTAATTCATTTGAGTTAGAAGATACAATTGAATCTTCTTGGATGGCCATGTCGCATAGGTTAGCTACTTCATCTTCATCATTGGAGTCATCTTCATCACTCCAAGCTGCCACAAAATACCTTTTTATTGCTTGATCCCTTCTTCTTTAGAAGGGACAATCATACTTGACATGTCCCGTTCTTTGACAATTAAAGCACACCAGGGGACTCTTCTTCTTGCTCGATTTATGCTTTACTTCCTTAGAAGTCCATGAATCTATTGATTCTTTTGAAGAGCTTGGCCATCTCTTATTCTTCTTTCGTATTCATCAACATTTTCATTTGAATCTTGATAGCTCACATTTGTGGATTTGAAGACAATGTCTACCTCATTCTGCTTATTATTTTGATTCTCTTCATCTTCTTCCTCTTCCTTCACCATCAACTCATGAGTCAGAAGAAAACCAATCAGCTCATTGAGAGTGAGATACTTGAGATTCTTAGCCTCAATGATCGTCGTCTTCTTCGATTTCCAAGACTTTAGAAGAGAGTGTATCATATTCCTCACGAGCTTCTCGTTAGGGATTACTTCTTCAAATCCCTTTAGACTGTTGAGAATCACGAAAAATCTATCCGTCATAGCTTTGATGTCTTCATCGAGTTTCATCTTAAAGTTCTCGTAGCTATGGTTGAGAAGGGTTATCTTGGTTTCCCTCACTTCATCGATTCCTTCATGAGTGACTTGGAACTTATCCCATATCTCATTGGCATTGGAACAAGGGGAGACTCTTCCATATTCATCAGGGCCTATTGCACAAAAGAGGATGTGCATAGCCTTAGCATTGAGTTGAAACTTCTTTTTCTCTCCATCACTCTAATCATCCATCTCACCGGGTGGAGTGGAGTAACCCTTCATGGTTGAGTTCTAAGATCCTAGATCATTTGCTTAAATGAAGAGCATCAACCTATTCTTCCAATATGAGTAGTTTTCTCTATAGAAATATGGTGGCTTATTGACCGGTTGAGAATCTTCAAGGTAGTAACAGCCGGAGGTCGAATCTATCTCTTTGTCGGTTACGTCGGGAATTGGTAGAGCTTCTTTTAGGATCGTCTCAAGGTGGTTAAACCTTCTAATAAATCAAACTATGATACCAATTATTGGGATTTTTGAAGCTCAATTTGATCAACCGAAAAATTGTACAAGGGGTGAAAAGATAAAAATTATTTAAGAGTAAGGAGAAAAAAATAGATAATAGGCACATCGATTTATAATGGTTCGACTTCTCAACTAAGTCTACCTTCACTACCTTAGCTCCTCACTAAGGATTTTCTAATAAATTCACTAATTTGAAAAGAATTAAAAATTTGAAGATTTATTTGAATAATTGGTAAAAGATGAGAAAATGATTTGGAATAGTGTTTTGAACTAAATTGTAGCAATAGATGATTTAAGAGGGCATTTTGGTCCTTTAAGGGGAAAATGATTTTAAAATTCATTTTCTATAAAGTATTAAAGAAAAAGGGCGAAAAGGGAATTTAGGTTATGAAAAGGGCATCTCTTTTTTATTTTTCTTCCAATGGAAATAGGTCTCCCCCATAGCAAAGGTAAAATTTTAATTGGTTAGTGTTTCCTTTCGATTATGGTTGGTTCTTGCAAACTTAAGTGTTATGCAAGCTTAAGGAAATTTTATATGAGATTAAAACTATGAAATGGAGGAAATATTAGAGATTTAAGAAAATGGGGTTTTAAATGATATGTTGATATATGAGTGTTTATTGATGTTTATTGATAGAATTAACTTGTCAAATAGGTAAATGAAAGAAAGTTAGTATGGATAGGTAAATAAGAGCTTAATAGTATTTTATGGTGTAAACATACCAAAATTTGACCCTATTTGGGTGATAATCAGGCTAAAAACTAGAAATTCTAGGTACAGGTATCGGTACTAATAGAACAGTACCAATATTATAGGCTTAAAATCAGTAGAATCTATCGAGTAGTATCGATACCAATTCAATGGTATCGATACCAAGAGGGGAATATCGATACCATGAGGATGATATCGATACCATTGATCATAGAATACAAAAATGGTATCGGTACCGTAATAAAGTATCAATACCATAGTATAGAAGTATCGATACCATGGTAGGGGTATCGATACTAGTGAGCCAGAAATGTTAAAAATAGGCAGATATTGTTATAGAAAGTTAATAATATGCACTCTTGAGTAATGTTTGAGTATAATTGTTAGGAAAT